TGGAGTAATTGTCTTAAAAGCTGTCTCACACTAACCATAGTAAAATTATCGCAATTTTTGCGTGGCTTACAGGCGACTTATTCATACTCGTATTCGAACGGCTTCAGTTGCAAAACCACGCTTGTAGATTTCTCGTAGAAATGTTACTGTTCAAAGTTGAAATTGAAGCAATTTATCTGTACGAAAAAGGAAACACTTTTTACAAAAAGAAAATCTGATCTGATAAAATCCTGCATTTGCATGGACAAAGCAGAATTCTATACGGCTAACGAACGATCCCAATCTTAACTTCAGGACTGCACAGTTTTATTTTATTTTCGAAAGATGCTTCATTATTCAAAACCGCCGCTCCTGAACGATCTTCCTTGTATATTGTGCTAAAAAATGCAGCGGTCAAGTAAATCCTACTAAGTTGCAATAAATTTTGAAGTACCATGCGAATTTCGTGCCTAGCATGCATATCTTGTAAAAAGCTACATTTACGAAAGCTCCAGAAAATATAGGATTCGGTGATTCATCAGCGAGGGGATATAACTGATGGAATGAATGATGGGATTTAGAAAAGATAAAGCAGAATGTAGCCGAATATCTTACGTTTTACTACTTTAGAGTGAACTGCGTAGTATAAATACGAAATCTTTCCCATACGTTTTCACCGCTCGGGCCGCATGCGTAGGTATCTGTTACATCCATTGTATGTATAACCCATTAACATTCGATTATGTTTTAATTATTGTTTTATATTACTGTCCCATGTGAACAAGTAATTCTTGAGTTCCTCTATTTGTATACGCTGGCCGAATCTTCCTTGAATTGAAGCCCTATTAAATTGGGGCTCTGGAGGAGTGAATGCGTATCCAAGGATTATATAAACCAATTCGTCTACAGATTATCCGTTTCAAATTTGACTCGGTTAAGTTCGATTTCGAACCCATCCCCACAAATGCCAATACAAATTTATCCATGTAAACAAAAAAATGTAACGGTAGCTGTAATTTTGCATTTAAATTGTGTAGTTAGAGATTAAAGATTTTGAGTTTTTGTGGACTTGAGTAATTTTTAAGCATTGTGATCATCGAAATTTTCAGCTTGTAAAGTGCTTCATTTTGCAGTAATTGTTTCGTTTTTAATTGTTTTCGTAGATATTTTAATTATTCTTGCAGCCCCTGAAAGCTCTCGTCCTTTGGAAGACGTGAGACGTAGACATTTTTGGGTAGGTATTTGAGGCACGCTGAAAAAATGTTCTTGAGGCATTTCAAAAATTTTTTACCTTTAAATTTGATAGTTAAAGGCTGAAAAAATCAATCACTTTACCAGGCGCCTTCAAAGTTCCTAACGAGTTCATAATTTTGCGATGTCTGTCCGTCTGTCCGTTAGGACGAAAACGAGTGGATCGATTACGATGAAATTTTGCAGGTGGATCCTTTATCAAAGTTGTATATCGGAGTTCATAAATTGGCAATGTGGGCAAAAAATAAGGAACGCCCTTTTGACATCTTCGTTAGTTGTGAACCAAATTGCATGAAATTCAGCATAGGTTTAGCCGTATAATACGAATATGCCAAGCTATAGCCACGCCTAGGAGCTCGTTTGCTGTTTACACATTTAATTGTAAGTAAGAAACGATAAAAATTTAAAGAAATTAAAGTAACACTAATAAGTTAATTGAACACGAGTGGGTTATGATAGGTTGATGGCTAAAAGATTTACTTGGAAGCAATTCAGATGATCTTCAAAGGCGTTTTTTATAATCTTCGGCAGTATATCACAAGCTAGCATCGATTCTTTAATTTCAAGTATGACCCGTCGAGTATCTGAATGCGTAAGAAATAGTGAGCAGAATCAACACAATATTAGTGTCGTTTGAATTTGTTGTAATTGGGTCATGTTGCAATTTTCAGCGTTTCTTATTTCGACATAAAGACAATTGTCATGAAACTTTCATGAAAAGTGATCAAAGTACAGGTGTATGACGGCCAGTATACATTCATTCAAACTTTGAAGGCGCATGGAAAAGTGTAAGGCCCCTCTAAATGATCTGGCTTATACAGGGTGACACTTTTAAAACTTTCAATGGGCGATATCGTTTTTTATATTAGAGGTATCACAAAATGGCCAAAACCGTTTCGGTAGAATCGAGGGGGAAGCAAAATGGTCGTATAAAGAAGGAACGAACTTCAACCTCGTACCCCCCGCCACCCCCATGCCTAAATTTTGAATTGTGACGTATCACTTGTGATACATCATTGGAAAGCTCTTAAAAAATGCTTTTCAGAAATACCAACACTGGTGAATTTAAACTGCCCATTCACAATTTATGTAATAAAAATGAGTAATTTGAGTATTTGATGAATTTGTCAGTGTTTGAAATAAAAAAAAATTTCTTAGATCTAGTAATGCTTTGGAAAAACAATGACAGCAATTTTTAGTAAATAATAATTTTCTATTGCTTTATTTGTTGATCGGTTATTATTATTTTAGTCTCGTTTTTAGTATTTCTTGGCAAGAAAATTACAAATTTTGAATTTAACTAAAGATTTCATAATGGTGTACACGTTAGCCGAAAGAGTTGAAATTATTTTCATCTATGGTTCTGAAGCGCGATCTGCATTTAGAACAGCAGCTGTTTTTAATGCCCGACACCCAGAACGACGTGTCAGTCACACTTATGTTGCAATGTTAGTGACTAAATTTGAAGAAACTGGGTCAGTGGAAAATAAGAAAAGAGACGGACCAAGAATAATGGATGAAGCTACTCAGATTGAAGTTTTAAGTCATTTTGGTGCAAACCCAACATCATCTATTCGAATAGCAGCGACTATGACCGGACTTTCGCGAGAAACTGTACGACGAACTCTTAAGGTGCACAAATTCTACCCTTATAAGATGCAGATTGTACAGCAACTAACCGAAGACGACTCCGATCGAAGAATCCAATTTTGTGAAATAATGACCGAGAATATTCAAAATAATCCGGAACTGGTGAAAAACATTTGTTTTAGTGAGGAATGTACATTCTTTTTAAATGGAAATGTGAACAAACATAACTGCCGGTATTGGGACGATAAAAATCCTCATCTTTTTCGCGAGGGGCAACGGCCCCAAAAAATTAACGTCTGGGCAGGTATCTTAGGTGATAGCATTATTGGTCCTCTGTTTGTCGAAGGAAATTTAACTGGAGTTACTTACCTAAACATGCTACAAAATACCGTCGAGCCTCTCATCACTCATGAAATAGAGAATCAAATAAATCCAATTGACGGAAACATGAATTTGATTGAAGATTTCATACATTTTCAACAAGATGGGGCTCCTCCTCATTACTCTATGGCTGTTCGTGAATTTTTAGATGAGAAATTTCCGGGACAGTGGATAGGACGAAGAGGTCCTATAGAATGGCCAGCACGATCTCCAGATCTGACACCAATGGATTTCTTTCTTTGGGGTCATTTAAAATCGGTTGTGTACAAAACTGAACCAGCTTCCATAAAAGATCTTCGCTACCGGATAGTCAGGGAGTGCCGCTCACTTTCCAGGGAAGTGTTTAAAAATGTTAGAAATTAATTTGAAAACCGTTTGTGGTATTGTTTAGAACAAAACGGTGAACATTTTATTAAATAAAAGTTGTTTATTTGCGGAGTTCAAATTTTAGTGTAATAAATTGTGAATGGGCAGTTTAAATGTACCAGTGTATGCTATTTCTGAAAAGCATTTTTTAAGAGCTTTCCAATGATGTATCACAAGTGATACGTCACAATTCAAAATTTAGACATGGGGGTGACGGGGGGGTACGAGGTTGAAGTTGGTTCCTTCTTTATACGACCATTTTTCCTCCCCCTCGATTCTACCGAAACGGTTTTGGCCATTTTGTGATACCTCTAATATAAAAAACGATATCGTCCATTGAAAGTTTTAAAAGTGTCACCCTGTATATAGATTTGCTCCTTTTTTAAATACCAAATGTAAAGGTAATAAAAATTTCGGAATGCCTCAAGAACATTTTTTGAAAAAAAATTCGTATCTTTAAAAATATAAGTGTTGATTTAGCCCCGCTATTCCTCATCCAGGTCTACAATTCGGTATTTGGGTATTATTGGAGAAGTATTGGACAAGTTTTCAGCGTGCCTCAAATACCTACCCAAAAATGTCTACCAGCTCTCGGACTATTATTTTGGGCTTAAAACACTCCAGGAAAATACGATTAAAATACACGATTCTTGATACCTACAACAATCGATAAAATGGATATTGCAATTGAGTTTTTTTTGTTAACATGTTTTTTTTTTCTTTTCTGGAGACTTTATAGAAGTACTAAAAGCCGGTCTGGTTGGGGTGTGTTTACGGTAATCATCTCGGTAATCATATCCGGTCCATATGGACTATAGGTATAGGTACTTATTAAGATCACCTATTAAGAGTATTTTGTTGTTGTTCGAATGTTTTACTCCAACAGTCACAAGTGTCTTAATAGCTCCAGTTTCAGAGCCTTGTTACAAATATGTTCAAGAACGGAGGGTCGTTTTAATAAAAATCCTTTTAAGTGGATGTTTCTTCTTATGAATCTGAAAAATCCTTCCTAATATAACAATATAAACTACTAGGAATCTTATCAATCTTATTTTCTCTACTCTCAAACAAATCCTCACATATTTTTATTATGTGTATTAGACCAGCACAAATATAAAACGTGTAAATTTGTATAGAGATTGATATTCGTAGGAAAATACCTGTAATACATTTCGGAAAGAGGAGTATAAACACGTATTACATGAGCGCGGAATTGAAAACTGAAACCAATCCGCATTCAATTTATCGTCACGAGCAGATATATTGATTTCTGTACAGATGCGATAACATGTTTCTGTATGCAAAATCTGTGGACATATTTAAGCAATGCCGAATCATATGTACACATTTACATATTAAATTATTACCTCCAGAAAAATGTATATTATATTTTCGGAAATTTGGTAGGTATTGAATAAAAACATTTAACTTACCTTCTACAAATAAGAAGAACCCTTTTGGGTTTTTAAGCAAGATCGAGAGTGCCGAACGTGTCATATCCGCTAGGGACGGGTCTCCCGTTGGCGTAGGGTCACGATCAACTTCGAAATCCATGTGGGAATAGGAGAAGAGTCCTGGGAACAAACCGAACGTATTGATTACCTTTGAGTTTACCTTCATTTTGTTTAAAATTTACTCAAAACTTGGAATAATTCACGCAATTTACGTGAAATGTAAACGAAACCTTATTTAACATTTTACGCAAAGTTGAAGTCTTTGTTAATACTCCAAACTTCATTAAAGTTCAGTTTATAGTGTTCTTGATACGAAACCGCTTACGAACTTCGAAACCTTAAACTTCATTACGTGGAAGAATGTTGCATGTAAATGAAACGCCGCACTGACTTTCTTGGAAATTTTTAATTTCAGCTGCCATAGGGTACAACTTTCTCTTATATGTCTTATACAAAACAAAACAATACTTCCGAATTTTGATCGGTAATGAATTTGTGTGATACTTATGGGGTGAATGACGTGCAGTATTACACACCTTAGATGCAGTAGTTCCGTGTAGAAATGAAATTCGTGTTGGATTGACAATCACCTTTTTTACCGCACAAATCTACTACTATTTCCTATACGTGAGCTTGTTAGCATTGGTCACGTAAAATAAAAAGTTCCGTTTTGCAGAAATATCCCCAATGTTTCAGCCCATCTTTCATTGCCGCTTGACCTGTAGGTAATGTTTTTTTTATCCTATACAAGGAGAAACTTACATTTTCTCGCCTGTGTGAGGACGGGAAAGAAGACAATTGCACGCATGGAGCGAGAAAATTCAATTTTGTCGGCTAGGCGAGAAAAAAAATACGCCTTATGTACGCTAGATGGCGCGATTGTAATAAAATGTCAAAGAAGTTATTTCTTTTTATTAAATAAGAAATAAGAAACATAAAATCGTCAACACTGATTTAATAATTAAATTTACCCTATGTTCACTTTATTTTACTGAATTCAAGAATTTATTTAATTACCGCGAACCTCTATAATTATACCTATCAATGTTTCGTGAATTTGAATACTTTCACATCACATGACCAATTCAGACGTTTCAAACTTAAGTCATAATCTTCCATGTACTTTCAATAACGAGCATCTGTGTCAATACATTTAACACCAAGATGTACTTTGCACTGTAAGTAGAACACCGCTTATCCGCAATAAGTAGCATTTTAACATACGAGACTATCCCGAAGTTAAAATGTGTCCAGTGTGACTGTAAGGAATGAATAAATCTATTTATAAAACACATTTTTTTAAAATACAAGATCATCAAGGATTTAAAGTGTGCCCATTGCGCTTTCGTCGCCAAGCATAAATCCAGTCTTAAAATTGACAAGACATGGATACTGCGAAGGATTTAAAATGTAACCGGTGTGATTTTGTCCCTGAAAACACACATTCAATTTTAAAACACATTTGTTAATACAGAAGACCAGTAATAATTACATATGCGCCTGGTATTAATTACAACCCCTTAAATCCCGTTATTTTCTAAGGAAATAATCACGCGCCAGTGAAATGCCGGAAATGTCAACTCAGTTCGCACATGATCGGTATTCTCTACTTGCACTTCTGCTCTGTTGCACCGTGACTCCCTTCGGTGACTCCGCACTGTGCAATCGCAAGCGCGCTAGAATTTGAATTTGCGTTGAACTGTATTATAAGGGAAAGGGGTAAATCTACTAGTAAAAAATATACTCGTGGGCCCACTTAGATTGCACCGTTTCGTAAAATTTTTTTCGCGTAGTCAGCAGGAAACGTGGAAATAAACAAAACAAACGCGTGCACGTTGACGCGTTAAAGCAAATCCAAATTCAAGCGCTTGCGGTCGGACGTTGTTGAGGGATTAATTTTAAATGTAAGTGTATAGGATAAAAAATATTGTGTGCACCACGGCACGAAAGTTGTTTTCCGGGCCTCAGGAAGTGGCCAGCCTCGGCTGCGCCTCGCCTGGCCATATCTTCCTTCGCCCCGGAAAACAACCACTTTCCCGCCTTGGTACACAAAGTACTATTCCTCGGTAGCGTTAAAATACACGCTGAAAACTACTTAAGCAATACGATACGCGTGTGGTCATCTTCGACTTCTAAAAGGAAGCCTTTAATCAATGCTTTAATCTTATTGTAGAATAGTATCTGCATTCTCTGATGGAGACACATGTTAAACATTAATTGTGGAAGCAATATTCGTTTATTTTATCGAAATATTTACATAACGCTCGTCCACGTAATGAAAGTAAAACGGCGCGGCGCTCCGTTGTAACCAACAAAAAAAATGAATAGCAACCTGAACACTGATCAGTAGAATGGTAGCCCTCCTAGTAATGAAACTTGAACGTTTTTATTCTCCGTACTTGACTTTTCAATCGACAGCACTTTTGTGGTTTGAAATCTCTTTTATTACCTACTGTAGGTTATTGTTTTCAAATACATTCGATTGTTTGTAAGTCCTCACACATAAAACCGAATGGACGTAAAATGTTGAGCGAATTCGAAGCTCTCGTATTAAATTACCTTAATTTACGCTACGATTTACGTACGTAGGTTATGTTTAGCACCCTTAAATCGGGTACCCCATTTTGCCACAATATTCCTTCGTCCTTCAATATTCCTTGACCAAATAGAACCATTCCGTTCCTTGGAAGACGTTATTAAGCTAAAGATAATCTTGAAAAGACTCACTACCAATGACTGAGTTATTGATAATAATTGGATGCAGTGATGTTATTGGTATGAAGTAAATCTAAAGAATAGAATGCGTCTTCACGTTTTATTTACAAAAACAATACTCATTAGTTTTGTGATGCATATCATTTTCCTTATCTCAGGATTTGATTTGACGAACGTCGCATGAATAACGAAGGAGAAATGAAATGGTTCAAAGTAACAAGTAACAGGTGGGTTAGCTTTTCTACAGGTTTAATAAAGGACTATTGTTATGTCACGTGGTTTATATATGCCTTTTCATTTATCACAATGGAAAGAAACCTTTATAGGGGACATTGAGTAACGCTAAAATATTAGTGAACATAACTTACTACATACGATATAAAATTTATCGTTTAATATGTGAAAACCTATTATATTTAAAGATGAAAAACAAGTTGAATAGTAGCCTAATAAGGCACTCAAAGTAGTTGTAACTAATCTAAACGCAAAACCTGCAAAATCCTGACTTGAACACTCTTCTAGTTGCATTTGGCGACAATGGCTTTCTAATGATCAGGTTCTCTGCGTTATTATGACGCCTCTTATTTGGACAGACAGCTAACAACTTTTAACACTGCGTCGGTCGGTGGCGTTCGCTTTCCACTCACGAGTGGTGGCGTGGGGTACTGTATACTCCATCATTGAAAATATGTATTTCTCGGGTATAAACACAATAAAACGTAGTTAGGGGATATGTTCATTATTAACGTAGTTATATTCGAACAAAAAAAGTAGTAGGTAATTATATAAAGCATTATACTATTAATAGTAATAATAATAATCGTAATAATAGAAATATCCTTTATTCAAATAAAGATACTAGCACAAACAGGAATACGAAGCATACGTTCTTGTAACATTAGTAGATTAACTAATACTGTACTATGTAAACTGGAGACAAAACTAATCTATTCTATCTAAAAAAAAAAGAACAAGACTCGTCTATTTCATTCATCCCCTTGCTCGCTACTCTCGCCACTGTCGTTTTTATAACATCTAGCGCATATAGCATGTTGATGATTTTTGCAGACAAAATTTCGACATTCGCCACATCTCACTGTGGCCTTTTTGTCGTCTTTTCGGGGACATATAATGCAGCGACCTGTTTTTCTCGAACGTTTTCGTCTTGATTATTAGGAGCTTCTTGTATTCCTAGCATATTCCGTGCCTTCTGGCGAATAGGTCTTGGTACATTCTTATTGTAAATTCTGCGAATTATGCAAGGCCTAACAAGTTCTAATGATAGGCATTTCAAAAAATTTCGTCTAGCCAGCTTTTGAAGTTTACCATTAGTCACATATAAATTCAAAGCATTTATTCCTCCTATGTTGAGTATGTCGAAAAAGACTGTCAAAGGCCATCTTCTAGTAGTTCTAGTCACATTGTACATAACACACATTTTATCCACCACATCGACACCATACTTTGTGTGATTATAATCTACAATCATGGCTGGCTTATTGGTATCTTTGTCGATTTTATCTGAATGATGCATCGTTGAAAGCATCAGAACATTTTTGTTTTTTTTTGGTACAAAAGACACAAGCGTGTCCGGAAAGCAAACATCGAACTTTCTAATGCTCTTCCTTTTGTAGGTATTAGGCATGGTGGAATTTCCCGTTTATTAGCTTTTATGGTTCCAAGTACAGTTGGTTTAAATTCTGTGAGGAGGTCCATGGCCAAAGGAAAGCTGGTAAACCATCTGTCCATTGTGATATTTCTGTTAGTGTTTTTTAGCGGTTGAACAAGCCTTTTGACAACGTCACTAGGCGAATTCGATACCATGTAGGGACCAGCTGGCTGTTTACCACAATAACGTCGAGATTGATAGTCGTCATCGTTTTCGGATCCACAAGCAAAAAAAGCTTTATGCCGTATTTGGCTGGTTTGGACGGTAAGTATTGCCTAAATGGGCATTTCCCTCTAAATGCGATGAGTTGTTCGTCAACAGTGAGAAAACTGCTTGGCATATATGACGAAGAGCAATTGTTCAAAAAGAATTCAAACAGCTCTCGTATAGTTCTACCCCAGTCCCATCATTACTCCAAATATCTTCAGTATTTAGCCTACCTTCTTTTAGATGTATAACATTCCAAGAAATGCGTCCATTTCGCATTCATCTGTAGGTTTAGCATTTCTTGCACGTGTATACTTTTCTTGGAGTGTCCGAATCTTTATATTGGTATAGTTTGTGATGAAACTTATCATAGGATTGCTGACGTAAACATGAAAACATTCCAATACTGTTTTGGCGTTTCTGGCAGCTCCGAGAGGACCGGGTACTTTCACGACTATATTGTGAAGTCTAGTGCGTGACGTAGCAGGCACCATACTATCCCACCTACTTTTACCGTCTTTACCTATGTAATAAGGTCCAGAACGTGTTGCCTCATGCAGTCGTTCATTCTGTATTTCGCTTCTTTCAGATTCTTGTTCGATGTTATGCTCTTCTGGAATATCATCCGTTTCTTGTTCTGTGTCAGACTCATGAATTTCTTGTTCCACCTCATCTATTTCTTCGTCTTCTGAGCTAGATTCTGACCATTCATTAGCAACTTCCTCCTGTTCGATTTCCTCCAACCACTTCGCCCACTGGTTTGGATCTCTACTAGTTTTTTCATATGCCATTGTCTAGCCCAGTAAATACAACAATTATAATCTCTAGGATACGTAAAATGAATTGAAGAAAACTCACCAGAGAAATAAAATCGAGAAACACAAGTATCGCGCAAGTGGTGGCACGAGGTACTGCGTAACCCCACTGTGACTTTTCTCGTGAATTACAATCACTCTATCGCAAACAAAAATACCTCCACTATACTAGCACGTTATACACACTACTGTCAAAGATTATCTGAATGTGGGTAGACATAACCATCCCCACTCCAGAGCTATGAGCAATGAACCTATAGTGGAGAACTGTATGCCCCGCGCCACCGATGCAGTGTTGTAGGGGCATTGGAGGGGAGGGGGGGAGTGCTTCAGCGGCAATTGAAATGAAGGTATCCCTTTTTTTATAAAGTGTAGAAATAATGAATTTTACTAGGGTTACGCTGTTTTATGTATTCGGTATTACAAAGTATACAAGATATGAGGGTTGAATAGTCAAAAATTTTTAGTAAATTTAGCATTTTAAATGTCCGTACGTTTTGAAACACCAGGAATCCTAACAAAATCTCAAAGATTTCGGTCTTGCGGTGTGTCTGCTTGTACTCTCATTTATAGCTAAACGGCTGAACCGATTGCAACCAAATTTGGTACACATCTATTCTTAGACATAAAAGGAAGAGCTGCAAAGGGGTGAATCACGTGTATGCGCAAATCCTGAATATGGAAGGGGGGGGGGGTTATTCCTCCTACCGGTTTAAAGTCATGACCTTTAGATTTCCCCAGTTACACCAGCGCATGTTATTGGAATCTATGAAATAAGTGCGAACAAAGCAAAAGTAAAAGCCTTCATAAATGAAAAAAGATAAGAGAAAGATGCATTGCATTTGTATGTATTTCAAAACCTAAGTTACTCTTAAAAATGACCATTTATCATACATAAGGCCACGACCTTGGAATAAAATTAAAGGCCACACTTGTATATGTGAATTAGTGTTGATCCACATTTGGATCTGTCAATTATATACTAATTTACACTTCTCTCTCTCAGTTAACGCTATCCGACAATTAGTATTATCCGTCAGTTAGTGTTAATCAATTAATTTTAAAGCATTTTTAGAAACTCCAACAGATTCTTATTAAACAATTTTAAATGGGTAGTATAATTACATGCTTTGCCGTTTCTAAAATTTGGTTTTGAATTTATATTTTTGTATAAATATACCGCTTCATAGCGAACATGAGCAAAGTATGTCTAGCGATAACAAGAAACGTATTGGTGAAAGTGAGCGCGATTGCCACGATCTCTTCGAAACTAAAAACCGATTCAAGGTTCCGTAACAGTAAGCGGTAAGAGGTAACAGTAAGAAATAAGAAAAATTAACATTTAAATTATAATGGCGACATTCAGAGTGCGGGTTCATCAGCGCTTTAGGACGTGTTTTGTATAAAATATTGAACAGCCCATATTTTTTATTACGATTAAAAGGCATTCGACCGTTAAAAGTGTGTCTTGCAGGTGTATTACGGGTTTCCGGTTTCTAGTCTGGTTTATTTTATTAGTATGTTTATGAAAAGGAAAATAACCTTTGGTAGTACAATCTTGAAAGTAAACAACCGCAAGCACAATTATAGCGAGTAAAGTGGGAGAACGGGCATTCTAAGTTGATTTTGGCGAACGGTCGCGTACTACGTGAGCTACGCTGAAGCTGTTCAAGTTTACAATCGATCCCATTCAATCCAGTCTACGATATATTAGTGAAGTTACGAGCGTGGACCCATATGAAATTAGGCTTATTATTCTTACGTTTGGTTTATTTAGCGTAAATATAAATTGGAATTCGGGAACCGTAACGTGTAATCTATCCGAATAGTAGTATAGAATTAGCAATTTCACTTCGAATAAAAACATATTAAATAGCGAGAACTCCTAAACTTCGAGTGCGTTGTGAAGAAACATTTAAACAAATTCGGATTTGTGGCAAATTGCGGGTTACCTACAATTGTATGTGTGTAAATAGATGAATTACAGTAAATTACAGAACGCGCCTGCAGCCTGAATCGTATCAAAGCCTTTTCATTTACGAGTGGTAAATTATACACAAAGGAACATTTTCGAGTAGGAGCGATTGCGATAGGAAAGAAGTTTTTTTTCGGATCGCTAACCGTAACAGCTGGTTAACGGCAAGATCCTAAATTTTGAGCCCTTGTTCGAAGGTATATTAAAAGTTCCCGATCACCAAAACTGTACACGTAGCACGTCCAGATTTTCAAATTCGACTGCCACGTGAACGTACAACTGCGACAATAGTCATCATCTGTGTATAATCCAAGGATGTTGTAACATTCCTGGTATAATCACTGTTTATACAAGGTGTTCCAACGAAATTTTGTTTTATTTATATACTTAATTCCTTATATTTAACAGTGTGCGAGGGGTTGCAACTTCCACATATTTTTAAATGGGGGGTTCTCATTATACTTACACATTTTTAGCGTATTTTCCTCAAAGTGAAAAATCGCTATTGGCTGCACTTTGACGTCAGTAGTTCTAAAAATTTTCATTGGGGCACCTTATTTAAGGTCTAATTTTTAGTTAAAGCAAACTAACTGTCAGTTAAAATAAGTTATTACCAAAGAAGTGAATTTGTGGCTCTTCTACGTCTTCTACGGTACATAAAATTGATAGAAATTTGAGGCGAAGTTCAGCTTCTAGTCTTTAAGTACTTTACTGCATCAAAAGTCTACCACTCAGTCTACGAACTTTGGGAAGATTGTCAAATAAGATATCACATAAAGTTTTGTACGGTCGGGTTAACAAAGTGTGTCACATGACCCTCGTTCAGCCCCATAACGGGGTGGTTTCCGTCAGATACTAAAAATTGGTTCATTTCACTATTTGCAAAGCCATGTAATTTAAAATAACAATTGACACCATAAAGTTTAAATTATATCAGTCTGCATTGGACCTCATACCGGCTATGAATGCTCTTCTCATAGAAAAACTTATGGTCAATTTATTGAAGTAATTATAGAACGTAGTCCCAAACTTATATAGGGGACGAATACTATTAAAAGAGCAGTAATTTTAGACTCGACATTAGCATAACTCTAAACAGGAAAATGCGGTAGCCTCTCACAAATTCCATTGTGGGACAACGCAACGCAAATTTCATCATTCGCAAGTTTTGAAATTTGAATTAAATGCTTTTGTTTTCCGAAGGCATACACTTCTTGCACCTTCCAATATGATTCAATTTATGGTAGCTATTCTGTATTTTTCTTGCTTTTTAATATACTCGCTACAGTATACTTGTTTTCTCAATCTCTCAATATACCTATACACTTATACAGTAACTAGATAGGGACCTATGTAACAAAAAATGCTGCTCAGTGTTTTTCTGTAGGTTACTCAGTAAACACATAATTTTTTGTTTAATATAGTGTCCCTTACAACAACATTGTTATTGTCAGCTAAATGAAATATTATTTTTAGTAAAAATGCATTTCGGATGCGAACAAATGGACATAAATGGAATATTTTTACATGAATTCTATTCGTTCATATTTCACGATAACTAAAATGAAAAAAAATCCGAAATTTTTTCGTAAAAATACGTAAAGAAGTAACTGAAATTATTTAACAAATTATTGTTCGTGATGCAACGTAAAAAAATAATCATTTTGATGATTGCAGGTCAATGAGCTGTGCGTCATTTTACGCAGATAGTTTTATTATTATAACCATCTGTATTACAATCAAGCGGCTGTAACTAGAAGTTAAGGGCTTGAACCCACTCCATGAACGACAAAACGACAAAGCTCGTTCATGATTTTGGACTTTCCGTCCCTTCGTTTGTCCGTCTGCGTACATGATAACTCGCCAACGGTTCCGAATTTTCGAACATTGTTTTCAGTAATAGGTCAAGGGACTAACTATAGATTCAATTTATTTCTGTTTAAGATATTTCAATTATCTTTGTTGCGTCTGAAAGCTTTTGCCATTTAGAAGACGTAATATTTTTGGTTTCCTATGGTAAATTAAAACGAGCATTAAAACTTCAAGATTATGCAGATTTACGCCGGTATCAGTTTGATAAGACCTTTTCCCGACCAGAGGAATTCAAGAGACAATGGATTAGAATTATGAATTTAGAAATTTCATTTTGCACATTTAACCGAGTATAATTAACAGTAGCCTAATTAATAAGGTTCAGTAAGCAACACCCGACTGAGTTATGAGAGGTCTAAAAAGCACCCATTTTAATTAATTAGAATTTTGACACCAATTACAGATTTTTAAGACCTCAGCATGCCGCACAATTAATTAAAGAAGTTTTAATTTTTGGATTTAGATAACAGAAACCGCCCGCCATGCCAGCTTGAAAGTAAGGTAAGCTTTTTGCTACTTTACGTAACGATTTATTTTCTCTAATATGAAGGGTCGTTACTGTTTATTACTTGTCGAAAGACCCCCGTTACTTTTGAATCGATTTGATAGATGGCTCCATCTATTAATTGAATTTAACCACGTACGTTTGTCCGCGCCAATTTCCAGCGCTTGATTTGTCGGTGTCGATTCTCATCTTCCTCTTCCTTTCGTAAGTCGTATCGAAGTACATTTTTATTTTTATTTTATTTTATTATCCCTCTCTTGTTTTGGGCCCTCAACAGGCATACGCCCAATTACAGAGTGACCCGCATAATGCTATTTAGAGGTGCCTCTGCAGAAGGTCTTAAGATGGTCTATACTACTCCGGTATTTACCTTACGAATTAGGAAAACTGCAGGAAAACCTAATTCGGAGTAGCCGGTAGAATGCTCGGAACTGGTCTAAGGTAATTTCCATCTCCGCCACAGATGAAAAATTCACCTCAACCCAGGTTCGAACACCCGACCTTCGGATTTATAACCCAATGCTCTTACGAATGAATTTAACAATCAGTTCAAAACGTAAGGTAGAACGCATGGAATTCTAATTGCCATCTTCCGAATATATTGATCTCTGGCGAATGCAGTCA